TAGATATCCTGGCTTTCCTTTGGTCCACCAGTTTAGAAACTGGAAAGTTTATAGAAGTAGAGAAAAAGATGAATTCTTTGGAATTAGACTCAATTGCTCAACACATGGATAATTTGATAAGGAAGCTTTCGGGTTTTAACCTTAAAGTTGACAAGATCGAAAGATATGGGAACTGTTTTTTCAGAGCAGTTGCCTCACAGCTCAATAGACACTTAAGGGAATACAGGAACATATCGAAGAGCACTGCATTTCCCTTGGATTAGGAATTAGTGAAGCTTTCAACACACGTAGACTTAGGGAGCTGTTTGTGAAAGAAGTCTCTGATAGCATTGAAGAGTACAGAGACTGGATGACAACTGGCGTTAACGGGTTAGAGGACGTTTAAAAATTTAGCCAAGACGGATATTTCGTAAATGAAGTTGGTGATTAATGGGCGAGAGCAACAGCTAAAGTCTTGAAAATTCCAATTGCGATTGTTACCGCTCTCCCTTCAACAACTACGGTACCATTCCTATCACAAGAGTTCCTTACCACCACACCCATCTACATTGCATATGATCATTCTGGGCCAGGCCACTATGATGCCACAAAAGGTACTCAATAACTGTTCAATAACCACAGGTTAAATTAGCAGTTGTAAATTCTGATAATGCTACATACCTTCTTATATATCGAGGTTTGAACTGAGAATTTTTCGAGATCCTCCCGATGTCTTGGCACCTTTATTAGGCTGAAGTCTTGTACCAGTACTAAGTTGTAAATGCTTACTTTAATGAAATTGTGCCGGAAATCATTTAATGGATAAAATGATGTTTTTTTCATTTGTGCTGAAACAAATTCTGTAAATCGAGGTTATTTCAGATGTAATTAATAACTATTAACTGAAGTGGAGGTGGCTAGTTGTAAACATTCACTACTGGCCACGACACTGAGGCGAGTAGCTGTTTTTAGTTCACACTAAATCAGTGAGGTAATATGGCACACTGAAAAAGATGATTTTAATCAATTTATTCCTGCACGTGCGGGAGCGTGAAACTCGCGAGTTGCTCGGAGGTAATTAGCAAAGGATATTCGACTGAGTCGAATGCTTTCGCAAAATCCAAGTAAACCACATTAGTCCGAATGTTCTTATCCTACTAAGTAGTGAATAACATTTTTCGTTTAGCTCTGTAGGTTTTCTACGATCGCTTGAGCACTTAAGTGGTATCTACGGCCTATTTCGGAGTAAGAATTTAAAAGAAAATTAAGAAAATCCATTTTAGAGCATTTTTATACTTATTAGATGACAAACTGATTCTTAATTTCATTTTTGATGTGCCTAATCTTTCGCCTTTCAGGAACAAATAAATCTAATGCAAATTGAATCGTTACAGCAATTGAAAAACGATTTCGATCGCAAACGTTCAATAGAATAGCAACGGGAAGTCAAGATTTCTTCCATCCATTTTTACACATCTCTGTATAGCTGTGTATAGCTGTGTATATCTCTGTTAAGCAGTGTATGGCTCTGTATAGCTGTGCATAGCCCTATATAGCCCTGTATAGGTGTGTATAGCTCTGTTTAGCTTTGTATTGCGTGTGTATAGTTGTGTATAACCCTGTATAGCTATGTATAGCCCTGTATAAGTGTGTATAGCTCTGTTTATCTGTGTATAGCTCTGTATAGCTGTGTATAGCCCTGTATAGCCGTGTATAACGATGTATAGCCCTGTATAGCCCTGTATGACAGTGTATAGCTGTGTATAGCCCTGTATAGCTGTGTATAGCCCTGTATAGCTGTGTATAGCCCTGTATAGCTGTGTATAGCCCTGTATAGTTGTGTATAGCCCTGTATAGCTGTGTATTGTCCTGTACAGCTGTGTATAGCTCTGTATAGCTGTGTATATCTCTGTATAGCTATGTATATCTCTGTATAGCTCTGTAGAACTGTTTATATCTCTATATAGCTGTGTATAGCCCTGTATAGCTGTGTATAGCCGTGTATAGCCCTGTATAGCTGTGTATAGCCCTGTAGAGCTGTGTATAGCAATGTATAGATGTGTATAGCCCTGTATAGCTGTGTATAACCCTGCACAGCTGTGTATTGCTCTGTATAGCTGTGTATATCTCTGTATAGCTGTGTATAGCTCTGTAGAGCTGTTTATATCTCTGTATAGCTGTGTATTGCCGTGTATAGTTTTGTACAGCCCTGTATAGCTGTGTATAGCCCTGTAAAGCTGTGTATAGCTATGTATAGCTCTGTATAGCGCTCTATAGCTGTGTATAGCCCTGTATAGCTGTGTATAGCCCTGTATAGCTGTGTATAGCCCTGTATAGCTGTGTACAGCTGTTTATAGCTGAGTATAGCTCTGTCTAGCTGTGCATAACCCTGTTCAGCTGTGTGTAGCCATGTATAGCTCTGTATAGCCCTGTATAGCTGTCTGTTGCCCTGTATAGCTGTGTTTTGCCCTGTACAGCTTTGTATAGCCTTGTATAGGTCTGTATAGCCTTGTATAGGTCTGTATAGCCTTGTAAATGTCTGTATAGCCTTGTATAGCTCTGTATATCCGTGTATAGCTGGGTATAGCTCTGTATAGCCGTGTATAGCTCTGTTTAGCTGTGTATAGCCCTGTATAGCTATGTATCGCCCTGTATAGCTCTGTTTCGCCCTGTATAGCTGTTTATTGCCCTGTACAGCTGTGTATAACCCTGTATAACTGTGTATAACACTGTATAGCTTTGTATAGCCTTGTATAGCTGTGTTTAGTTGTCTAGCTGTGTATAGCCCTATATAGCTGTGCATAGCTCTGTATAGCTGTGTATACCTCTGTATAGCTGCGTTTAGCCTTGTATAGCCCTGTAGAGCTGTGTGTAGCTGTATCTAGCCTTGTTCAGCCCTGTTTGTGTGCAGGGTATTGTATGTAAAGTTAAGACATCACTTTATGTAAAGTATAGGACATAATATGTATTGAGGACATAATAATGACACATACATGAAGCACAGAGCTGTGTATAGCTGTATCTAGCCTTGTTCAGGCCTGTTTGTGTGTAGGGTATTGTATGTAAAGTTAAGACATTACTGTATGTAAAGTGTAGGACATAATACGTATTGAGGACATAATAATTAGCCATACATGAATCACAGAGCTGTGTATACTGTATCTAAGACCCCATGACGCTGCATTTATCGCAGGCTCCACCAGGTGTTGGTCTCTTCCATCTTTTTTTAACTCAGACGCTTCGAAGCCTTCGTGTTCTACGACGCTTCAACTGTGTTTCAATCGTCATGCCTTGTATCTTAGTTCGCAACTCCATGAATATGGATCCTTCCTACCAAAACACAGTGGCCACGCACGCATTCGAGGGGACAGAAACCTTCATTGATTTTAGCTGCGGTAAAACACCGGAAGACATGAATGCGATAGCGGCGTCCATGCTGTTGCCGTTAACTGTAATTACGTCAAATAGGCAGACTTCTACGTGGTCCACCAATCATCCACCTTCTGTAGTACTGGCGAAGCTGCAGGATTTGGGCTTCTCAGTTGTTGCAGCAAATACTGTTGGAGTGACCACAGTGTGGACCCTGCAAGGTAACCCGAACGTCCGAAGCCAGAGTCGCAATCGTCCTTTCCGTCATTAACACGCTCTACCACACAAAAAGCAGGAGTACTTTTAAAAACTGTTTCCACGGACATTTTGAACACTTTCTCGTTCAGAATTACAATAGGATATTGACCAAGCTACTCCCTATATCTTTGTGTATGATTTGTTATTAATACTTAAATTAATGCTTTGACATTTTTTGTGTTGTGGCATTTTATTTGTAGTGTTTCCTGTTGATGCAGTGAAACGACATACGGCCGGTAATTTACCAATATTAACTTAAATTGTTAAATCATGTTTCTGTTATCGATCTGAACTCGTGAGAACGTTCATTGTTTGCTTAACTGTTGAACTGTTCGTGTAAAAAATTATGCATTTAGATAAACATGATTAAACGCTACTACTTATATTTTAGACCATTCACCGCAGATCCCCGTTACCTGAAATTGGTGACAGATCTTTGTCCTCCCGTTTGCTAAGCAAGCGCTCCGAGCTATGCAAGTCTTCCAACACTGTCTCGTTCAGTCAAGTAGTCACAGTACCGGGTCTACAAAATTACTCTTTCTTGTGGGTGTAGCAAACCTATCGTCAATGGATTTTATCTCTGTAGATAGGCCGCACACAATCTCTGTAGCTAGATATCCTTGAACTGAAGAGTTCGAAACCCGAAGCATTCGGTCTCAAAAGAAAAAATTCTAAAAAAATGAGTGCAAATTTATTCATTTTTGTTAGACGTTTTTCGCATCAATCTATTGTCAATACCGCATGATTTAAAAAGAAAGTTTCCTAACTGATTAAATCACAGGCGGCCCAAGCTCCAGCTGTGAGATGATCATCTTGCGCAATAACAGTCATGGCGGAATATTATAAGAGTTTGTATGGAAATATTTACGACCTCTCTAAGGAATAAAAAATACGTCAGAGCTCGTCAGCGATAGAAAGTCTTACGATATCACGTTTAAGACCAACGACGCCCCTTACTATGTACTCAGTAAGTTAAAAGGAATACCGACAGTATCTGAACTATAAAGAGGGTAAGTTTCTAAAGTAACTGTGGTGCTGCATCGGTGGAAGAGTATAACAGGGTAATTAAGAATTATCAACTGAGTTGATAACGTAAATTGCTCACCGTAAAGAGTTTCAAAGTTGACGTTTGGAGCGCTAGCCCTTCGTCAAAACGAAGGCTCCATTCGCTCTGACGAGAGGCTAACGCTCGAAACATCAGCTTTGAAACTCTTTACGGTATCTGAACCATAGTTTGGCGAATTACTTCCAGTTTACACACAAGAAATATGAATATTTATACAAATTCGGCACAATTTTTATCCTTTATTTGTATCATACATCCATAAAATAACTGATCCTATAAATTCGATTTTTTTATCACAATCTTTTATCGTTTGACTAACAAAAGCCAATAATAATTTTAAATAAGCGATGTCAGAGGTTTGCTGTTCACATAAATACAATTATTATTTCCAAAAAGAAAACAATCCCTCTGTTATTAATAACGCAATTATCACTTGTAAAAGGGATGATTGTTTACGGCAACTTTCCTCACGGCTTTGGTTAATATGTTCAGACTCGAAACTGCGATAGCCATTCGATAAATGAAACTCTGGCAATATCTAAGACAAATATACTGGCACTCAAATTGTGTGACTGTTTAAAAGTAGTTTTTTCTATAATTTTTGAAAAAAAGGAGAAACGGAAAAGTTTACAAAATTGTCCAAATCTTCATACTACAAAACAAAATTTTAAAGAAATTAATTGGATTCCAAAAATTATTCCACACTCCCCCGCTCCCAAAATACCAAAAAATGAAACATTAATTTTACAGTGGAGTCAAATTATTGATCGTCTTTTGACAATACATATCAGGAAAATACCAATACCTAAGAAAATATGGAAGTTATCTCAAAACTAACTCATATAATATTCTTAGAATTCTAAAGGCCTCTTTTAACTAAATAACCACTCAACCCTTTAACTTTCAAGATCTCATTAGCAATTCTCCTTACTGCCCGCCATACAATTCTCATGATGTTAGTTCAGAGAATTTGGTATTGGACCAACTAATCATCTCCTAATTAATATTTGTCTTTATTCTCATTACTCGTCTGCTTGATATTGTATCGATATTGTAAGGAGAAATTCTGTCTTGGTCACTCAAGGGACTTGAAGGGTTAACATACAATTCTTACCTTTCTGTTCAAACCTAGTAAACATCCTACGTTCTTAGTTTTTTCCACCCGGCTTCTTATTGGCTCCTTATGAAATGTTCTTAGCTCTGATTGGCTCTTGCCATTACTTTGTATTTGGTTTTACCGCCCTTCATAGAGACGCGTTATGTATGCCCAACGACATGTTACTTTCGGCAAATTCTCGTGACTGATCCGGGAATATTTCGACTAGTATCGGCCGGTGGATAAACCACGAACATGATGTGATCATGAAGTAAGCTACGTCATATCACCAGGCAATACTCTCTACCACACACCACGAGCCCACTGTCTTCTTTCGCCACCCGTTAGACTACCCGGTGTAATTCTTTGTTTGTTCAAAGATTCCCTGTTTGAAAAATGGCGCGAAATCGCACAGGTCCCGTTTTGTGAGGGGCCGGCCTGACATGGCTGATATGGGGCAGTCTGAAATTTTGGAACACAGCCCAATGAATGACTGAAGATATGTCTGAAAAGAGAGAACAGAAAACCAGTTAAGGTAAGGGATGACTTAACGAAAGTTAGAATTCAGTGGAAACTTTCAACTGGCCGAAAATGGAAATGTAGCCAGTTGAAATTCAAATGGAACGTTTACTTTAACTTAAAATTTAGCGAGGAAACTCTCCTTCAACTTCATTAGAATTTTGCCAGTTTGGTAGAATGGCAAGCTTCCTCAAAAATACTCTCTACACGTGCAGTGATCAGGCATTTGTGCGCTCTGAATACCTCAAAATGCTTTTACATAAACGGAATTTACTGAATTAGACGACAACATCATCGTGCCATATGCACTAAATTTCTCAAATAAGCGAACTAGGAGATCGGAAGAAGGGAAAATAATTACGTCAATCAGCGCACAGACAATATGGGCAGCAAATAAAAAGTTTTATCAGACCTCTAGCTGCGCTCTCCGGGCCCTTACAAACTCCTCTGCTCTGTTACCGAAAAACCGGCGGTTTGGAAAATCTAAACCACCAACCTGAAAGACAACGGGAAAGAGTGTTTCCAACATGATTCATAGGATAAACGTAACAAAATAAAACAAAGGTGCTACGCAGGTGCTTTTGCATAGTTTCTGCTTAGCTGCTATGAAAAAACGCGTAACACCCGCCTAATGATGATGACCTCTGCTCAAGTTATTAACACATGCTTTACTGTCGTCGAAATCAGTTTTTATCGGGTTTACTCTCACCCAGAACCTCTCCTTCCCATACATGTTCCACAGACGTGTTACAACTATTTTCCATTATGTTTTAATTGGAGAACAAACTCAAACTTTTGTTCTAATAACAACAGTATTCGGCTTTGCGATAGGAAATCACTTTTCGTGAGCATGACGCTTTGGGTGACGTCATGTTGCCAAGCAACGGGGAAAATGAAAAATAGAGTGAGGCTTAAAATTGTCTGATACGACGTACCTCATGATAGTATTTCCTCATTGATTTGTGCAGTTCTCGAAATTTCCGATATCTGCGATACACGGACCACGAATCTGCTCCAACCGTACTCTGAAATATAACACACACCATAATGCTATCGGTACAACGTTTGGAGAGACAATATAACCTCTCAAATGCCCTTTTTTCAGTCAAGATGCCTACTTCCTGCACCCCCAGTTACATGAATAAGCAAGATAATTGAATATTTATGAACAATAAGAATTTTTATCATTGCGAAATGAGTTTTTGAAGAAAAGGAGAGTAAATGTTATCCTTTCTTTACGAGCCGGCTAAACGTGGAATCCTTCCATTACTAGCTTATCGAAACGCTAGGCCGCAAAACGGAGAATTATTACTCTGATCAGAAGGCGAGTGAATGAGTTAAATCTATTTTATCGAAACACTCACCTTCACCTCGAACACGTGGTACGAATCTCGACCCAGGCCTCGAAGTATGTAACGTGGTATACAGACGTGGATCTGGTTACGTTTCGAAGAACTCACGGAGGCCAAGAAGCGATTCACAGGGGTGGGGGGTGGGGTGATTACAGGCGGTGACACTGAATCAGTCAGGCTTAGATTACTTCCGTAAAGTTCACTCTGAGGAAGTAAAAAATCGTACAACAGTCAATAATATAAAGTAATAAAGATCATATAACGATAAAAAAAGACTTGTGAAAAAAAGTTTTTTTCACGTAGGTGGGAAAGGTAGGAGAGTTTAAGTCCCACAAGAGAAATCGAACTTGCGTCGTTATCATTTCGTGGTGAGATGCCCTAATTCTGAGCAAGAAAGAACTCGTTGACAAATCAGTGTCTTTTAGTTAGCGAAGAAAGAGTAAGGAAGATAGATAATTCTGATATCGGTTGCCCGGTGTAGAAAGATGTTGGACATATGTAGCTGAGTTCCGAATGACGATGCAGAGGATTCAGTTTTTCCTCGTATTACTAATCGTTGGATCAATTTTAAGACAAACCTCTTGACGACACATGTAGTTCATCACTTCTCCATCAGCAAGTTCATCTTCTTCGTGACCATTAGGTACCTAAGAATTGAAACAATTCATATACGAAAAAAATAAATATTAAAATTTTACTTTCGGGACCGCAACTTTTCAAATCCACATAACCAGCGTGCCAACTTTGACATACGGTGTACCTTCCTTGGCAAAAGAAAGAAAAATGGCTGCCTAATCAGACAAGAAGTAAAACAACTGCAGATTCATTTCTGAGGTGGTACGTTCGTAGTTTATCTATTTGAATTCTTTGCTAGGAATATATAGATGTATTTTTTTGGTCAAAACGGATCATTGTACCACTCAATGCAAGGGATACTGACAACCGATTATATGCATCCGTTACTACCCTCAAATTCTTTAGAGGTTCCTGTTTACATACTCCCCGCAAACTCTGTGCATTTCATCGACTTTAAAAAATACTAATATGACCTCTTAACTCCACTAAATGGCACTTTCAGTTAAGGGAAACTAAACCTGGTCCCATGTGTGTATCATGACAAATCACCAGTGATACCCATAATAAATTAAATCTGTCCCCTTTTCGGTAGCAGCACTGAAAAAATGCAGTTAGTTATCACATTTCCACCCTTTTCCTTATACCCTAATGAAGGAGATCTTCCCATCTGTCATGATTGTTATTCTGATCCTATATTAACCACAAATTCATAGTGCAAAAAGAGCTGTCTTACTGTAAAGAGACATTCCGTTACTCACCATGAATGAATTGTAAGTCGAAAGCTTTTCTTGCAAAAGAACCACTTCCCTGTAGAGAACCAAACACGCAAATTTGTTTTATACAGTAGGGACAACTTGCACACTGATGTTTATAGGTTGTAAAGGGTTTAGGAACCCAAGTGATAAATTTTTCATTTCACCTTTCCGTTTCGTCAAGTCTATCCCGCAATTCATCAATCTCATGCTGAGCCTTCTCTTTCAGTTCCTCTATCTCCATCTCTTTATCTTTGATAATCCCCTCAATCTCCTCCAGTTTCTCTCTCTCCAGGACTTTACGTTCCTTGTCCAATTCTACCTTTTCTTTATGAATGAGCGTTTCCAGTTCCTCTTTCTGTCTCTCCAGATCTTCCTTCTCTTTGTCCAGTTTGCTCAATATGTCCTGTTTTTCAAGTCTCAGTTCCTCCACCTCGCGACTTTTACGTTCCTCTACTTCTCTCAGTTTGTTTTCCATCTCCGCTTTGATTCTAGAGCAAAAAATAAGTTGCTCGTTAATACAGCAGGTTGACTTTTAAGGGTGGGTCAGGTTAACCCTTTCACCCCCTGCAGTGACCAAAAATGAATTTCTTCTTGTAGTATTAATACATTTTCAAACAGGCAGGTGGTACGAAGTGAGATCAATACCAACTAAATGAAATAGTTTGATTTTGCACCCAACTCTCAGTTCCAAAACTATAAGGGTAGAAATATGTGGGATGTAGCGAGGAAATTAATAAATAAAAATCTGCAAAACTCTGTGAAACGAGGAAATTCCTAGAGCCCGTTTCTCGAAGGTCCCGGTAACTTAACGGGCCTGTAAAGTCCATCTGTTTTCATTCAAGAAGGGGGTTCAAGTTCTGAAAATAATACAATAAAAATATAAGTTAAAGAGAAAAATGGACTTGTTAGGGTGTTAGAATCGGCCTCTCAATTCTTTAAACTTTGATTCCTGGAAATACTTGTCTGCACTAACCTCTGTTTCTCGTGAGCTAATATCAAGCTTACTGTCGTTGGGGATCCGATCTCTCTTTGTGTGAGACTTTTTGAGAGCGTCGCTTCCTCTTCGATGTCTCTTAGACTTTCTTCCATGGCCTCCCTAGTAGTCTTCTCCTCTTCTCTGTCATGCGCAAACCTGCTCTGTAACTCGCGCCATTCCGCCTCGGCTTTCTCTTGTGCTTTTTCGGTGTCTTCCAACACGAAACTCAGATTCTTCCTAAGATTAAAAAGTTTTTCCGATTCCGCAGTCAACATCTCCTGCTTTTCAGAAATTTTCATTTTCCCCTCCACGTCGATTTCTTTCAAAGAGATCCTGTGTTCCCTCAGGAGGTACATATCTTCCTGTTTTGCCTGTGACACAAGATCTCCTTCTAACACCTTCGACAGTCGTAGAAGTCCGTCTTCTGCCTTGGTGGAGAACTTGCCTTGCCTTTTCTCCAAATCCAATAAACTTCTCTTGGTTTCGATCAAGAGCATTTTAGCTTGGTTGTACTGTTCTTGAGCCTGTTTGAATTCCACTTCCTCTGTCTCCAGCTTCTGTCTCTTAGAGTCTTCCAACGAATCTAAATTTAATCTTTCCAATTCAATTGCTTCTCTATCTTTTTGTTTCTTTTCGTTGAGAGCAATCAAGTCGGCTTCCATATCCTTCTCGAACGTTTCTGCCATTTTTTGTTTGTCTTCCTCTAAGGAAGCCAGTCGAGTCTTTTCAATCTCGACGATTGCTGAGGTGCGCTCCATCTCTCTCTGGACCTGTAATTTTTCTTCTCCTGCGCATTTCTCAAGTTTTTGTGTCAATTCGTTCCATTCTTTAACCTTCGAGTTTAAATTCTCCCTTGTTCTGTTGATTTCTTGTTGTTGCCTATCGACATTGTCTTGATAATCCAGTCTCTTTCGCACAAAATCATCCTCAGCTGTTGTTATGGTCTCATTCAAATTCTCCTCCATGTCTCGAAGCTTCTGTTTGGCTTCTTCTATTTTCGCATTTTCTTCTCGTGTCCTCGTATCCAAAGCATTCTGCTTTTCCGCTAGATTGTCAGCGGTAATATCCACGAGAGCCTCGTAACCATGTATCTGCTCTTCCAGATAATTTCTCTCTTCTTCCAGTTCGCTCTTTTCCTCAAAAAATTCCAACTCTAGAACTTCACGTCGCTTTCGGATATCGTTATTAGCGATATCAAGCACTTTTTCTCTTTCTGTTCTTAACTCTTCAAGCTTTTTTTCTTGACGCCGAATCTCTTCCAGCGCTCTCGATTTTTCTATTTCAAATTCATCCTTTTCCAACATGGCCTCCCTTCTTGATTCCTCGAGTACGCTAAATTTCCTTTCGTAGTCTCGCTGCTTTTGTTTCAACTCCTCCCTTTCAAGCTGCACGTTTTTCGATTCATCCCTCCACTTTTGTTGCAACTCCTCCCGTTCTTTCATCGCTTGCAGTTTAGTTTTGTCCCTTTCCTCCTCTAGCTCCATAATCTTTTTCATATTTTCGTTCAAACGTACTAGCTCTTCCTCCTTCTGTTGCCTGATTTGCTTCTTCAATTCTGACAACTCTTTCTCTGATTTGCGATTTAGGTTTTCGATATCGTCTCGCAGTCTATCGACTTGCTCTCTCTGCATTTTCAAATCCTGCTCCCGTGTTTCGATTTCTTTACTAAATTCTGCTTCTGTAGCTTTCCTTTCCAGTTCTGCCTGTTCGTGTTTTTGGCTCAATTCCTTGACTTTACTCCTGCAAAAAAGGAATAGACTCAGTATGTGGTCACAGAACTGAACAGACCATTGCGGAATCTTCCACTGTGCTATATTTGTCAACCCCTGAAATAGAAAATTCATAATGTCTGTTGTGCTTCAATTCTTTCATGGTCGCTTTCAATTTGAACCCATCGGCTCGGCCGTTCAACCTGTCCCAAATGTTCATTTTGTATATGGGACGCAACTGCAGCGCAGGGCGAAATGATGAGGAGGCTTATGTCAGACAATCGAAGCGCAAGCTCTTAAAAACAACACGTAAGGCTCTCTCATGTTTTCGCTCTTCGCTATTAGTGACTAGTGACCTGGACAGAATTTCTCCTTACATTATCAGTACGATATCAAGCAGAAAAGTACAGAGAATTAAGAAAAACATCAATTAAGGGATTATTGGTTGATCCAATTCCAAATTCTCCAAACTGAAATACATAAACTGTATCGCAGTCAGTAAGGAGAATTACTCATGAAATCTTGGGATTTAAAGGGTTAACTAAAGGTCTGGCATAGGCTATGACTGTTTGATACACAAATTAATGATCTACACGAACGTTGCTCATCTGCGCGCGCAATCTGTACCTTGCTTCTTCGACACTTTGCACTTCCATTGCATGAAGCCTTCTCTGTCGCTCGAGTTCAGCCCTGACGAAGAGAAAAACTGCATTTATTACAAATGCTAGAGCCTGAGAAGGACGAGCCCTTCGTGTCTCGTAGTCGAATAAATATAAACATAACTTGCAACATTAAATGTTTTCCGGGTAAAACTACGATTTGGAATGTTGGTTTTGTGGGGGGCGAGACATTGTGGAACTCTCAGAGCAAAGACGAGAAGCAACAACCGATTCAAGCCAGATGTGTCGCTAGTTCCAGGATAGAACCCAGGCTACGACGCTGATTTCATGCCAAAGTCTCAGTATCTGTACCTGGATCAGCTGGCGCTGAGTGAGCGTGAGGACTTGTAGAAGCTACATCACACAGTCCTTAGCTAGAAGGCGCTCAGAGGTACCTTCTTCTTAACTTCTCAACCGTGATATTTGGCGTTTATTTATGTCGAGTAAATGGAGTGTTTACCTTGTTTCATTGAGTCGTTTAGATTCTTCTTGGATCTGTGAGGCAAAATCCGCCCTAGGACACAAAAGATTGGACACAAAAAGTTTTAATCTCGGTTTTAGAAGTTTCCTTATCACCAAAGGCGCGTGTTGTTTGAGGTGGGAAATTTATAACTTATGATAAACTTCTCTCGCTATAAGGGTAGGGGCGTGGGGAGAGGATATTTAGTCAGCCTCTAAATTTCATTATTATTCTGCTGGCATTACCTAGCTTCTTCAATCTTTAAAGCTTCAAGCTGCTTCTGTTTCTCCAGTTCATTTCTAAAGGCACAAAAAATTGACAAAATATTCATGGTCTGGAAATATTCAAAACAATTTTTCAAAATCAAAATTCAAATTTGCAAATAAATTTTAAAAGATTTCTACAAACTCTTTAAGCAAAATAATTAAAAATGATATATCACTGATATCCCTTTTCACATTAAAGTCAGCGCAGATGAGAAAGTTGAAGACAACGTTTTCACAAATTTCTTACTTTGCCTCCTCAAGTTGACGACTGAGAGATTCTTCGCTGTGGATTTAAAACAGAAGAAGAATGAGTTATTTTTTTGTATTTACATCAAGAACCATACGTTAGTGATATTGGCTTTGAGAAGTCAGTTATCTTCTCGAATAAAGATCAGGTGATAATTCGCTTGTTTTAGGTTACTTAGGAGATTGCTGCTGAGTGCATGACATTTCTAAGAACACTGAACGAAACTATTCAGTGTTTTTATTCTTGAATCTCAGACAAGAATCAAATCACGATCATCACATCTAAGCATGAAGGGCTTCGTCATTAGATTGAAATATTTCAGGTCCAGTCTCAAAAGTGTTTCCTCAAGCAGGCTGGCGCTGCATTACTTTAATAATAAGTCATGTAAAGTGCGGTATTTAAGAGCAATTTCCGATTGAGTTTGAAAGGCAAACACCGAAGTAATCACAACAGCTGATCAGAATAAAAAACGAGGACTTAAAAAAAAAAACCATGCGAACTTCCTGAACCGCTGGAAAACGCGAAAAATTAAGCTTTGTATTTGATTGGTTGAAAATTTGGCGGGAGTCTCAATAACCAATCACAGAGCTCTAATGAGGTAAAAACCAAAACAAGTCCCGGATGTAAACCCAGAACAATACTCAATCGCAAATTGCTCTCACTAAAAAAATTTCAGTAAGTTGAACTAACAGTCCTGTCAAAATCCTGATAGCAGTAACCTGCAACAACGAATATACATTCACAAGAGGTGCTTACAACGGGACAGTTAATAGTAATAACTGCTCAATGACCAATACGAGTTTATTGAGCCAGCTCTTACACCAGATTACCCATTAACTCTTATACTCCCACAGGTGATTGAAATCTAAATTCTCCCTAAAATATCCATACATTATCCAGCAAACAGGTGATGAGAATACTCGAACTTATCAAGTAGAAGTTGTCGTCTTGATCTAACACCAAATTCTGGTAACTAATTTAAAAGGAAATATGTAGTAGCTGGTGGGAAGAATTGACTATCAGATCTTGGGAGTTAAAGGATTAATACTACATAGCTACTTATCCAGTGTAAGGAGCTCAGTCGACATCGTCTCGTTTTCACAATTTTTTTTAGATACTTATTTATATTGAAAGCCAAAAGTTTTTTAATTTCTATCCTCGAAAAAGTTCACACTTCCAACGACATTTAAGTCTCAAAGGTCGAAAGTTCTCCTGCATCATAGTGACAGCAGAATTTTTATTCAGCGATTTTTCTATCAACGATGACAGATTAGCTGTTTATGGGATACATGTTAAGGAATGTGGGAAATGGGTACTAGTTTCTAGGCCTCCTAAAAAATTGCCACTATAAAACGCTTACTCTGTTCCTCGTTTGAATACCAAGTCTGTTTCGCTGCGGAATTTTGTAGACCAAGCCAGTGAGGAAGCCCCACCAAGTGAACTCTGTTAATGGATCAAAGGTTATTGTATTAATTGAAATGATTACGTTGTCTTATCAAACTTCACCATTCAACTCCCAGACCAAATTTGTAATTCTCCTTACTGTCAACCATTTGTCTTTACTCTCATCGCTTATCTGATTGATATTGTATTGATATCGTAAGGAGAAATTCTGTCTTGGTCACTCATGGGAATTGAAGGGTCAAAAAGAAACAGTAGCCTTGGAGCAGGCCCTCATTATTCGCGCTACAGGACGTGCATTTCTCCGCCCGCGGGAAGATTTGAGAGGGTCGGAGAGAGGTTTACCGGGGTGTGGTACCAGACCCCTTTGAGATTTCTCACCGGCCCGTGTTGTTGAAGGCCGCGTACTTTCCCGCGGGCGAAGACACGCTCACGCCGAAGCGAAGCGCTAATCATGAATGATCTGTTGGGCTTTCTTGCGCTCAGTTTTTGACTCAATCAAAATTCAAGTTGTAACATAAATAATAATTCCCCCCCAGTTTTAAAATAGAATTAAAGGGTGGCAGGTACTGGAGCAAGTTAGGACGGGGGGAGGGGGGAAGGAAAGGGTGGGGGTAGGGGAAGACGGCTAATGAAGTTTACAAGAAACACGTTTCGAAATTAAAATCAGAGCTATTTACTCACCCCACGTTCTTCCTGTAAATAGTTGGTGTGGCCATGACAACGAAATTATCGGTTAGGAAACAAGATAAGTAGATTAAGAGTTAGAATGATCAGTAAACAAACAACACAACACAGGATGGAAGAGGTGGGAGAGAGAGGGCAAGGGAGGGGAGGGGAGGTTTAAAGATATTGGTCATTTCCGAGATGCCCAAAGTCTCTATTTCAAAACGAGGGTACGCCTTCGATATGACTATAATTTTATAATCTCTGCCAAAACCCTTTTCACAAGAAGTGTCTCGCACCCGAGCTCATTTAGGAAGTAGGGATTTTTGAAACCCGAAAAGGCTGAATTCAATTATAAACTTCAATAAGTTATTGATGGTAGGGAGAAGGGAAAATATACCGCCATTTTACCTAAACGATTTCTGCCGAAAACATTTTAGGATACCTTATTGGAAATTAGTGCGTTATTACAGGAGTTAGGCTACAAAATAATATATAAAAAATCACTTAACATAATAAAAGAAGAGGATTTAGAAACAATAGGTACAGACAAATGCCACAAAACGTGTATTTGCAGTAGCAAACTGATCCTCATGGCTATTAGGATCAAACATTCAGTTTCCGTATGACGGAGAGGAAATATGAAACCTTACCTTTCTCTTCTCTCTTAACTCTGCTGCTTCTCTAGGATGGTTGAAACGAAAAACGTTTGTCGTACCCAACAGAATCACATCACCTGACAAATAAAACAATGCGTTCTGTCACCATTATTATCCCAAGTTCGACTTTGAACCCTGGATAAGAGCTTCCCTCCTTTGGAAAAATCATCCCCCTCCCCCCAGCTGTCTGACCAAAGTACAAGTAGTATTACCTTGAAATAATCTTGTCGGCTTCGAAATGGCATGTTCATTGACGGCGCATTTCGAATCCAGCGGGTTGAGGATTACATGACCTTTGCTGTGTTCAAATACACAGTGATTCTCCTCTGAATCGGGTCCGCTGATTACTAAAGAAACAAGAAAATAAATTCACTATTTTAAAAACGACGTTGTGGGGATATTTTACAAACTCACAGCGGATTGAGGGGACCAGAGTCCACATTTTGACGTCATCTGTGATCTATTACTGAATAGGGGCACGGCAACTTGGAATCTATTTGTTAAATAGATTCTAGAGTGAAATAAGTAACTGATTTAGATTGTACAATACTAACAAAGGCCTTGTACGGAATTTAAAACATGTTAATTTTACTGAAAGTACTAATTTGTCTATGAAAACGAAACTATAATCCAATCAGTCTAACAAATAGATTCCAAGTTGCCGTGCGTCTGTTCAGTAATAGATCACAGATGACGTCAAAATGTGGTAAGAACAAAAAAGTGGCACATGAGGTGCAGCCGAGTGTGTCACTGATGTTCTTACCACATTTTGACGTCCTCTGTGATCTATTACTGAACAGACGCGCGGCAACTTGGAATCTATTTGTTTTATATAATAAAGAATTAAAAAAGTTTTAATGATGACGTCAATTATACGTCTGTCCTCCTATAGACCATAATTGAGAACCAATCAGAATGCGTGCATAACTGAGCTTATTATATAACACGTGTTGCTTGATAGAGTTCTCTTTATGTGTTTTAGGCTATTATGGTCTTCAAACTAATTTTAGCTCAAACAATTACACAATGCTTAACTTCTATATTTTAAACTAATTTCAAGAAATCACGAAAATAAAGTACCCATATAGTCAACGCACTTCACAATAAAAACCAGAATGGTTGTTCATGGTGAATAAAATCGTTATTTGGCCAACAGTTTTTTCCGCCTGGATGTTTCGGTCGTCTGAGAGGATTTACAGACACACTCTTAGGGTCCGTCGACTATTTAAATGCAAATCGTAATTTGATTTCGTCGACCAGGGATTGGTAGAAATAATCAAATTCAGTAAGTGGTTTGAGTGATCAGAAGAGAGGAGAATTATGCACAAGAAGCGCATGAATTTCGTAGATTATTATGATTGCCAAAACAACTTACTAGAAATTCTATATTCAAGAGTAATCAATTAGTTACATTTCATTCAGTGGAACCTTGCATACTTTGAATTTCAACGCGTTGATTTCTTGAGAAAAAGATTATAACTTGCTAGAAATGTATAGATTATCAACACTATCCAGGTTCTTGATTCAAACCCCCGCGAGTCTGGTAGTTACGAGTAGCGAAAACGTGTACATGATGTATCTAATATACAATGCGCGTCTGTATGAAAATCTTTGAGAGTAAGTAATCATTACAGTGCATAACTACGCAGAATTTTCTTGTGTTTCTTCATCTACAACGAAGGGGGAAACTTTGATTGACTGTCCACATACACATACATGTGATTCGGAGACTACCGAGTTGCTTGATCATCACAAACAACAAAATACCCAGCAATATAGCTACAAAAATTCAGTCACATTACCAATATCTTGTTTCTTTGGGTTGTCAGCGAGTCCGGCTGTAGTAAACCCTTCCTTAAAAACACCGAAAGAACAAGAACAATCAGTTTCAGTCCCTCGATCACCGAGCAATATGAAAAACTTAGAGTACTTTGAAAGCAAAGTACATATTAAAAACCAATACGTAACAAGGAACAGATTCCTCAAATTCTCTCAGATCCATTGAAGCATAACATGCAAATTTGCTTGAAAGCAAATGCTACGTGTTAGAGATAAATTTCTTCACCACATGTTTCAAAATAAAACAACGCCCTCGGTAAACTGCTCACAATGTCACCTAATGTGTCAAATATTTCAAGGAATTTTCAAAGCTTAGAGAAGCTTTGTGCAAAGGATGAGCTTTCGAAAGACAAAAGAAAGACATCCATACAATTATCACATGCAGACTGATTTCAAAATACCACCTATTGATTAAGAAAAACAAGGCTTTGTAAACATTTAATTGTCGTTGGTTTAAAAGGCTTGAAGCCTTAATAAAACTCCAAAATCTCAAATTAATACTCTTTCTCAGCCCTTTTTCACGTCAGAGAGGTGCTCAGAGCTAAACTTTCATTGACTAAGTTTTAAACCTTCTGTATGTACATTACATGCAAGAGGTTGCACTCAAAAACTTTTATAGACTGTTTTGATTTTAAAAGCATTCACTAATTAACTTTGTCAAAATGCCACTTCAAACTGAAAGGTAATAAGCTTTTTCCATTAAGATGGGAAAATATATATTTTTTTCATCAAATTTGTTTCATGGTTCATGCTAAACACTTTCAATCTCAGATTTCAATAGCAATTCTCCCAACTGTCTGCCATACAATTCTTGAGATGTTGTTTAGGAGAGTTTATTCAGGTGAGTTAAACAGGCAGCTTTCTAAAAGCAGGCACAATATTTTGCCTTTATGTTCAACCTTTACACATTCTCCATACTCTTCGCCATACATTTTTAAAAGTGCTACTTAGGAGAATTTGTTTAATAATCAATAGCCTCTTAAGTTGGCTTAGGGGGGTTCAGGGTTAGCCTTATGGAAATTTTATACCTAAAACTGGTAACAAAAATTTTCACCAAAAAATGGTGGAGAACTACCTTAAGATGATAGACCACAATTCCAGTGCTAAGAAGATCATCATCCACTAAAACTAAATGAGGAAGAACTGAATCCATCTTGATTCCAACACCTTCTTGCTGAAGCTTCATTTCTCTTTCCTAAAACAAAGAGAAATTAAATTAATATAATTCTATAAGTAAAATTTACAGAACTTTGTACTTCAAAATTTTAAAGCAAGGCATTAGTTTCCTATACATTCCTCTAGGTGTAATTAGCTGAGTGAATCAGTCTACATTTATTAGTAAAGATTGTTACTTTTGAGTTAAGTTGTTGGGTGAGAAGATTTTCCTTTGTTTTGTCTGGGGTGTACACATGCAGTAGAATCCCTCTAACTCAGACTCCCCAGGGAAACAAACAATGGTTCACGTTAGAGGGGGTTTGAGTAATTGGGGTTGGCATTGATTTCAATTATCCTGTTAGAACATGTAATTAATGAGGAATAATTTTTTCACCATTCTTTTATGATGAACAGTAATTTTCATGAATTTTGTTTGCTTTATAGGAGCTTTTTTTGTAATAAAGTTTAGTTTGAGAAGTTTCGTTACACATACTACATCAATCATCTATGTTCTGACACTTTGATGTTTATCAACCGACATTGCATCAAGATATCAAGTTTAGGGGGAGTTTGAGTTAGTCATGGCAAGTTCAAGTTAGCTGATAGTAAATGACTAGAAAAATGGGGTCAAATCCAAGAGAAACGGGATTTTGTTCGAGCTAGTGGGGATTAGAGTTAACTGGGTGTGAGTAAGTAGGATTCTCAACTGTACATACACATCTCAGTACTTCAAAACCATTGTGAAAAACACTGAATAAATTTTTAAAAATTGTGAACCTCTAATATTCTCTGGGTCTCTCTCCATCTGTCCTTCCACCGATCAGTGAGTTCTGTCACACGTGCTTCATTCTCTGACAGTTTTTTGGCAGCAGCTAATTCAGCTTCTCCTAACATTTCCTGCAGAGATAAGAGGTCAAACCAAATTTTAACCTGAGGCATATGTTCAAAAACCACTTAAAGATTAACAGGCGTAAAAAAAAGCAAGTTTTGATTATTTTATGAAATAAGTAATCTCTTCTGTAGTAAGCAGTTCCTTTCTTACCGGGCTAATCATATTTTTCAGCCGGTCTATTTCAGCTCGCAGGTCTCTAATGAGCTTCACATTAGCATCCTGAAATAAAAAGAAGAGATCTGTGAAGTTCCACAATTAGGGAAAATACTGGGAGACTTGCAAATTTACAGCATACTATGAATTTTTATCTACCCAATTATAAACATGTATGCAAAATGTTTTGGCAGTGGTGCTTCAATTGATACCACACAATGCAGAAAGCTGAAACTAAAAGTAAATTTTTGTCAATACAACTGTGAGTATTCAAATGATTTCTTGTCCTCTTTGGAAAGAATAAGTAATTTTAAATTACCCAAAGATTTCAAATTGCATTCCCTAAAGGCTTTAATTTGCATTTTTCCAGTTTCCCCTTTTTTTCTTTTTTTGATATGTTGACATTAATGCAACAAATATAGCAACTCACTTTATAATGCTCTATGGAAATCTTACACATTATTATGAATCCAATCTTTTGTCTCAGAACACACACATAATGAGTTCTGAATTACTAATTTGTGTAATTATTAACATGCTTTTCACATTCGCATGTGTACATTTTTTTATAAGACACAGGTGTATGTAGTGACACACAGTTTGCATTTTGAGTGCTTGGAAATTGCATGTGCATTGAGTGTGTACATTGCTGCCATACATGAGAGAGGTAAGGCAAAATGCTTCCATGTAACAAATACCTCACCTCATTGATGGTGGGTTTGTTGATGATATTCTTAGCACGATTGGCATATCGCAGAGTGCTGAGCGTTTCTGCATAGTTTACATCTGCTGGTGAGATGGCTAAGGAGAACAGCAAATAAATTCTGTCACTGACTGCATAATATAATCATTATAAAGTTTTTTTGCAGTCTGTGCACTGCCATCTCTCTTTGAAGGATAAGCTGCACTCTAATATGGCCCGGCCAAGACATGCAGTGTACATTGTGCATCTCAACAAGGAAGGAAAACAAAGGCCTGCCTACTATTTTGCCAATTTAATACTGAGAACTAAGGTGCTGCTATAATATTCTAGTCAACAACAAAATACACAAAATCTAAAAGACTGTGCTTTCAGCTAGTGCCCACAAGCTAACAAGAACTCCATTCCTAAATTGTGACTGAACCCTTGAGCCCCTCAGAGTGACTAGCAAGTCAAATTAAACACTAAGGTCACAAGAATAAAGGAAATGATCACCAGCCAAAGAAGCATTTGATTGTTAATCAAATTCTCCTTGCCAGAAACGAAGGAAATGTAGAGAGAATAGTATGGAGAATATGCATACTGATGTTAGGGTGCAAATGGTTAACCCTTTATCTCCCATGAGTAACCAAGATAGAATTTCTCCTTACAATATCAATACAATATGAAGCAGAAAAATGATGAGAATAAAGAAAAATATTAATTAGGGGATTATTAGTTGATCCAATACCAAATTCTTGAAACTAACATCACAAGAACCATACAGCAGACAGTAAGGAGAACTACTAGTGAGATCTTGGGAGTTAAAGGGTTAAAGAGAACCAAACATTCATGTAATGCTCAGGAGCATGGTGTGGTCTGAGACCTAGAGGGAAAGCAGATCACTGAACAGTAATATTGGTAAAACTAACTGACAAAAAGTTTCTTACTAGCAATCATGATAGTTTTTGAATTTCCTCCCAGACTGTCCTTCAGAAGCCAGGTCAGAACAGAATCTCGGTACGGGATGAACTTGTGATGATGATGAGATGAACTATGACTCCCTGTTGATGCATCAGCTGTAAGGAATATTCAATTTTAAATCAAAAATATTATTAGGAATTTCCCTTTACTAATAAACAGGGGTTTCCAACCATTTTTAACTGTCTTACTTCCATGAGTGACCAAGACAGAATTTCTCCTTACAATATCAATACAAAAACAAGCAGACAAGTAATGAGAGTAAAGAAAAATGCAAATTAGGGGATTATTAGGTTATCCAATATCATGTTGGATTATGATCATTCTGGTTGAAAGCTAATTAAAATTGAATATGATGAAATATAATCATGAAATGACAAAATAGTGAGGCATAAAATACCATAATCTGCCTGCAGACATTAGATAGACAAGTATAGTGTATTTCCTTGAATAAGTGCCTGGGCACTTATTTAAAACTTCAGCTAAAAGGACTGGTATTTATTGGATGGAAAGGGCTTAATTGAGGGGGGCACTCTTACAAAACTATTCTCCTGTTCTGATTCAGCTGCAGTTGAAGCTAAGAAAGTTATAATTATTATAATAGAAAGAAAATAGATAGAAAGAGGTTTTTCTTGTATCCACACTATTCAAAAAGTGAGGGAGCAGAAAGGGGGCACTCTCAATTATAGGCCTAACAGGTGGGCACTTATTCAAGGGAGGGCCTTTATTGGAGTGTGGGCAGTTAATTAAAGGAAATACAGTAATCTCTACATATTAATTTATACCTGTTACAAAATTGAAGGAAAAAATACCCATCAATTTCACATATTCAGAAAAAGAAACATCACAGTTCACGTTTTTCCAAAATCATACTGAGCACTTATTACCTAAAGCAGAAATGACAGTTCCCAGGGTGACCAGTGACTTGTTAATATTGGCACCTTCCTTCAGTCGTTCACCTGTCAGTCCTGTGGCGTCAGCCCTCTCACTGCGAAATTACAACATTTACAGTATGGAACTGCTCAAGATGTATTGTTACACCCATCATAAAATGCTAATGATCAATTGTTAATGAATTGAAAATTAATCAATAATTGATTAATGAAAAATTACTTTATTTGATAAAGACTGAATAATGCAGTTTTGCATTTCCTATTTTTTGTTGAGGCAAATGAAAAATGAGATAACAGTAAATACTGAAAACATTTTACCTTCCAGCTAAATCAACCAAGTTGATCTTGCTGACTGTTTCACAAGGCATGTCATGGTCAAACTTTGCCTACAGTTTGAGTACAAACAAACAAAAAAAAACAATATTCATTGACCTATTGTTCATTTTGAACTTATTGGTAATTTTATAGAGACAATACAAAGATATAAATTTAAATGGTCCTACAAAATTCCTAGAGGTAATCCCAGTGTTTTTGTTATTGCTCAGATGCTTGCTTATCACAAGTTGATCCTCACAGTTTGTCCAAGTTTTCCAGGAAGTTTATTGCTACTTATACAGACTTAAAGAGGAAATCAGAAAAGCACTACAGAAGTGAAGTATCTCCCCAAAGGAGAGAGCTTTAAATGAGCATAGTGAGGGATCAAGGATGGCAATTTGATTCTCAGAGGATGCATCACATGTGGTTAGGTTCTGTGTTAAAAAAAAAAGAAAAAAAATTGAAGTTACTGACTTGTGTGAAATTGATTGTAAATATTGCATGTGATCTGCTGCTGGTGTCATTCATCCCAGTACTTGCTGTAACCCTAAAAGTTAATAAAATAGATTTCAAAAATATGTTTTTACATGTACATATAAACTGCTACAATTCCTCTTCAGGTGACATCGTTATGACAAACAGTATATAAAGAGTTCTGGAAAGATATATATAGAAAGCAAAATATAAGGAACATTTCACTTTCCAGGGTCAGAAAATGTGTATTTCTCTGTCACCTATGGTACATGTATGTACAGTATATGCATGTATTGTATATGCAGTTCAATTCAATAGTCTAAACTTTTGTGGAAAAGGTTTTAGTTGAAAATCACAATATGCAAGAAAAAAGAAAAGAAGAAAATCAACGTTCAAAACTTTTCTACCTGACAAAAAATTGAACTTAGGCCCAGTTCAAATGTTGAACTTTACATGTACCGAATCTAATAATTAGGTTTGGTTTGCATTTAAATTCAAGGTTTGAATCAATTAGATTGATATCATTTCATATGCTGAAGCTTTTCATGTGCCGAATCTAATGCAAACATTACAAATACATTAAATTGATAATTTTTTTACCCACATTTAGCATATTTTGTCATGCACACATGACTTGTTTTGCGACAAAATGGCAAGAAGAGCGGAAAATATGTATCCCTCTTACTTTGAGAGCATGAAATATACATGACTGAGGTGCGTGAACTACTTCTGTATGCTGTGTTCTCTGTTTGGAAACAACAAGAATGTAGCGTGTGGAAAGCAGGCAGTATGGTAGCATATTGTAAGTCATGTTTTCAAGAGGAAATGACAACAAAATTTAACCTTCTGGAAAGTGAAGGCAATGATCAGGAGGCAGATTTCCCAAATCAGGCCAGTGGATAGAAAAGCAATTTCTACAATGGTATTAAGATATTCTCCTCTATCTAGTCTATACAGACAAATAGCAAGCCTCAGTGCTGGCAATATCACTTCTTCCATCACAATTTGCTGAATAAGGGAGGGTTCAATATTGTTCAGGATAAAATTATATGCTACCTGGGATACTCTGAAGGTTTTCTTGAACCTTACCTCTGAATAGATGTTGCAAACATTTTCCCACCAGCCAGAATTTCATTTTAGCCAACAACAATTACAAACTGGACAAGGAACGGTGATGTTCCTTTGGGAAATGAGCAATTATAGAAGGCAAGCCAAATTCAAAACTCATCTCCTCCTAGCAGCCAGGTTATTTAATGCCAAATGCATCTTCAGTCACCTTCTTCCATCCTCCTTTATTGCACTTGCAAGAAAAACAAGTTCTTCATTTCCACAATTTGTCTTCCCACATTTTTTCCTCCATTTTGGTGACCAATAACTACTAACTGCCATAGAGTCATGATCATTTTTCCAATTAAGTTCAAGTTAATTAGGTTTGACATTTGAATCAACTGCCGGACTTTATTATTTATTATTACTGTTGACTGCCATAGAGTCATGATCATTTTTCCAATTAATTTCAAGTTAATTAACTTTGACATTTGAATCAACTGCCGAACTTTATTATTTGGGTCGACCCAAATTGGTATTAGGTTTAGCACATGTAAAGTTCAACTTTGAGCCAGGCCTTAGTCTACAAATTAAATTTTGCAATCACAAAGGGGTGTGTACAGAGAATGCAGCTGTTATCAGTAAGTACCATCAATCAACAATTACAGTTGATATGTGGATAATAATTACAGCATAACTGACTTGTATTTACCGATGGGTGTTACCCTGTTCCATCAGATTTTCTATTGCCGCATAATCTGATACAAGATGCCTGGTAAGATCTGTGGAAAAGGAAGAAAATTATATTACAAAATTACAAATATTGTATAACAAACACATATAACTGAAGATAAGGTTTCATGATCCTTAAAATATATTCCTCTATGGTTTATACACAAAATGGTAAATAAATTATGCTTATTCTGCAAATGCTTAAATAGACAAAGCCCAGAGTACTTAGGTGGCAGATAAGTGAATATCAGCGACCCGTCAACCAGAACCTTGCATTATAGTGATATAAATATAAGCTGTCCTAGGTATAACTGTGACACACAGAAGGTGGAAAAACTTTTCTTGTTACAGCCACAAAACTTTGGAACTCTCTACTTATTAATACAAGATCTAGCACCAGTGTTAATGTATTCAAACAGAATTATGGTAATTTTATAAAGGAAGGTTATGCTGGCTTGAATGGCTTTCCTGTTTCACAATTTTTTGTATTGTCTGACCCCTTTTTAATATTACATTAAATATTACATTTACTTTTCTATTTTTTTATATTTATAAATTAGTTTTATATCTTAGGGGAGGGCCACAAGTTTACCAGTTCTTATTTGTAATGTGTCACCCTTGGTAAATAAAGTTATTATTATTATTATTATTATTATTATTATGGTTTCAGTTTGTGGCATAGATTAAATGGGAATTAACTCTTTAAACCCTTAGAATGACCAGCATCTTAATTCTCCTTACAATAACACTGCTGCATCATTCATTCAGATCATGAGAATAACAGAAATGATTTCCAACCTAAGAAGCTTTGATTATTAAACAAATTCTCCTTCTCAGTACTGAAGGATATGTATAGGAGAGAGTATGAGGAATATGGATACTGATATTATAGTCTAAAGGGATAACTGTTAGTGTGAGATACTCAACCATGGGAAGTTAAACCTAATAGTTGGAGGTATCTGTGAATAATCCAGAGAAGAGAGAGAGAGAGAGTATAATGGGTCCTGTGTGTAAAAGGAATGCTGTGATCTGGCCTGAGGGCTTAAACCTAGACCTGGCAATTGTGAGTCCAGGGTGCCAATCATGACTCCAAAGTATTGGCTGATAGGAAAATGAATTAAAACCGAGAAAATGAAACAGAAAAGGTGAGAAAGATAAGAAGGTTATTTGTCTTATCATGGACCAGTAATAAAGAAAAATCCTACATTTCCTCAGGAATCAAACTCTTCTATACTCTACTACTGAGCTGCCGAGACTTGTAACACTTGTAACATCTTTCCTCAAAGATTACACTATTTTGTGAATGACACAGGCATACTCAAGAAAAAGAACTTCAAGAACTCCCAATAAAAGCATCTTCCTAACATCTTTCTTTAATCTGTTACTATGAGTTCAAAAATTTACCATCTTTCTTATCTAATGGTTTTACAATATTTAGTATGTTGAAGATCACATGGCAAATAAAATGCAATACTGAAAAAAAGATTAACAAAACTAAATGCATGAGAACCCTCCACCCAAGAAAAAGTCTTTCAGAAGCTCACCCTGAACATAGGGACCTTCCTTAGGATGTTCTCTGACTTTCAGAGAGTGAACAGGCCTTCCCTTTATGGGAGGTCTAAGAAGATCTCTGACACGCTCATTGTAGATTTCCAAAAAGCTGACCTCTGTTCGGTAAGAAGGTCCATTATCAGCATTATTACGCATGCCTGAAAATAAACCTTCGCATATCCTTGGTATCAGACCCTGGTTATCTGGACTTCCCATCATGCTGTAGGTCTTGCCAGAACCAGTTTGTCCGTAAGCGAAAATGCATGCATTGTAACCCTCAAATGCTGCTTTAAGGACATCTGTGCCAAGGTCTTTAAAAACCTGTAGGAGACAGATGGATTGTGCTAGGTCACAACAATATGAATGAAATAAATTGCAGATGCAGATGGACATCAAACAAGGTCAAATAAAATTGATTTCATTAAAATTGTGATCAGATTCCTTTACGGAAGAGACGAACCCTCTTAAATTTACCTGACTTCCAATGTGTGGCCTCATAGCTCAGTTGGTAGACTTAGCACCTAATAGTGTCTGGGGGACATGATTTAAATCCTGTTGAAGCCAAGTTTCTTTTCTGCAGTTGCTTACATTGCAATGCAGCTATGGGGAGCATTTTGTTGCTTGATTTGCCATAACATTACAATCGCACAGTCATAAATGTAAATTAAATTTGAAGGCTACGCTGATAATTTATGTAGGCAGTTTGGCTGAATGATTTTAGGGTTTTCTTGGAGTTTTTAAGTACAAGTGGATGGATGTTAATAAAAGAGGTGACTGATGAGCCTCAAATTTCTGGTCAGTATTTCATATGTTCTCCTTGACATCTTGAACTAAAAAGGATAAACAGAAAACCAGCTGAGCTGTAGGTCCATGTTGGTCTAAGCTCTCCAAACAACTGCATAAATTACTGCAGAGGAAAAAAGTTCTTTGCTTTTTTTGGAGTGTTCAGATTTTACTTATTATTGTTTCATATGCAAGGCTTTTGGTTATGTGGCAAAACATGGTTCAGAAATTTTGGCATTGATAGTTGTTGTTTCTTTCCCAGACAAAGTAAAAATAATCATCTCCATTTTAATGCCACAACCTAACTTACATGTATCTTCACTGGATAAATGTAAGTTATTTCAAAGTATAATGCCAAAAAGAAGATATAAACAAACCTGATTATGACAAATGAATGATTTGAGAGTAAATGAAAGAAAGTGTTGATTGATTGACTTAATAGAAATTTGATCAATTCATAATCTCTTACTTACAGTTATTTTTGTTGAAAAATTATTGAATTGTTACTCCATGCAAATGAAATTTTTTACAGTTATTCCCCCTGATCAAAACAAATAATTCTGACAATCTCCCGTGGCTTCAAATAACGATTACATACATGACCAGCTGTTTGAGTTTAAAAATCAGCATGATATACATAATTAACTTGCTAAATTTGTTACCATGCACAACAGAATTTCTTCCGAGAGAATCACCCTTTGTGTTTAAATTCAGAACAAAGCAATCTATTTATAACGTTAAAGAATGCATTACATTAATGTTTTCATTTGAAACTAGACAATAAAACTATATTTTTTTAACCCTGATCAAGCTGAAATACAATCGTTTGACTTGCAAATTACTCCTATCCGAATAAAATCAAGGATTGCTCTCAAACTGAAAGGACAATGGAAACGTCCGGAAATTTAGTTCTTAAATTTAGATGAGCCGGTCTGGTCATGAGATCAATATACAAGTGACAATAACGGACGTAAACAACGATTCGAAGCAGGGCCTACAATGGCTCTTAAATTTAAGTGGGTCGTTTCTCGGGAACGCCATGTCACCCACTGGGACGTTGGATTAAGTTTTCAGCGATGATTGGAAAATCGACAGGTTTGTAAAGAAATTTATGTCAAAACTTGCAAGAACATACATGAATATCATTGTAAAAACAATCGAGCATGCGATCAAGTGCTCGATTGATCATGGAATGTACTAGACAAGTGCGCTTATGCAAATCTTACCCTTTCTTGTGAAGCATAGTGTCGGCTTCTCTCGTTAACAGACCAGTAGGAAAAATCGAAAGAAAAATCCTTCACGCGATTTCGCCTCTCTCCATCACCAGTTAATGCATTTGCCTGAAATAAAAATACTGAATAAACGAACTCGACCTGCCGTATTACACATGACTTTCGTCGTGTTTTGATGGTCACTCTACACGACACCTGATTCATAAAGTTACAACATTTTAGCACGCTTAACAAAAGCACATTTGCGACTAAATATGTCTACCTTGATATTCATAATGGTTGTTTTCTTTCCTTCCATCTCGATTATAGATTGAGCGCCCATGCCTTTTTCCCTGCAGAGCCGAAAATCGTGACACGGAAAGATAAACGAATAACGCCAACTCAACTGACTCAAACTTTAGGATGCTAACTTAACAATTGCGTCTTACCTTTGATTGAAAGGCCTCACTCTCACTGCTACTTTCACAGATGCCATTACGTTCTTACTTAATCCTTAAACGACTCAAAATTGCTGCCTTCGAAGAGGATGAAACGTGATTGGTACCAGATCCTCAAATTGTTTTCGTTTGACCGGCTAGACTAAGGCAAGATTGTCGATGATCTTTCCAACTTGCTGAAGCTCCAAAAATAACCACACTTCAAATTATCCATTTCACAGAACAAAGATAGACTAACTTAAAGAACGAAGCCATTCCTGAAGTGCAGGCAACTGTAAAAGCAAAACTAAAAATTTTCTGCGGTCACTTGTCGAATCTGAATGATATCATCAAATTCATTGCTTCGCCACAGCGAGGCTGCAGCTCGTGAGCGATCACGTGAGAATGTGAATTCGACTTCAAGTTGTTTACTTTTGGTGAAACGAACAACACGCAAGTTCTGCCGTCACGTACGTTTGACGTTTAAAAATCGCTGTAGGCAAATGTTTTTAATAGTTAAGTTTGTAGTTCACGTATAAACTGGTTTGGCAGGGGTCAGTGTTTAATATTGGGGCTGATGAGAGATAATGACTCCAATTACAGAACCACGACAATGTATAATATCTGGGCGATACCTGTATAAGGTGGCGTGGGATTTAATTTTGAATAGTTTGCTACCGCCCGATTTACTCTTCGTAACATGGCAAATTAATATCATTAATAATAGAATATATATCTCATAAAGTTTCAAATGTCTATATGCTCCAAATGGTTAAGCCATCAGACTACAACCGCATCTGTAAATCTTCTCTTCTCTTGGGAAACTGATTTGTTTCAGCCCGAGCAATTTGGGATGTTTACCAAATCAAGCGAAACGTATTGCTTGATTTACTTTTGTTTACATAAAAATTACGTGTGCATTGCTTTCTAATAACCAAATCTAAAAGTGATTTTTTAATTGAACGGTAATCCCTTTTCAAAAAAGTTTCACTGAAGATGGTTTTCCAATCGGGTTTAGACTTGCCGAAACACCTCTGTGCTTAGTTTAAACTTTTTCCATTCTCTTAAATATAGGCGTCACCTTGTTAAGTTCAGTCTTTGAATTATTCAAATAATTTGGCAGAAGAATGTTGCAGTGTTACGCAAGTTTCAGTTCCTGTAAATTAATAAATCCCACCTCCTGCGGGATGGATTAAAATCAGGAGAAAAAAGTTTCAAACTTTGCAACTCTGTGATAATAAGAATTAACTTATCCCGAATCTATTGATCCGCGCTGGGGCCATAATTCCGAGAGGAAAAAACTCGGTCCGTCACGTACAGTACAACCCACGAACTCGGTTAGTAAGAGGTATTGATAACGAATTTATTGACCCGGACTGTGATTTGAAGGTGCTTGTTTAACCGCAGAAGAATTTACATCCTTCACGGTCTGGATTGATTAAAAGATAAAAAGAATAAAACAAACAAAGAAAACAAACAAACCAGATGAACTGGAAGAGGACAGGGCCTCGAAGAGTTTTCCAGACAAAAAAATTTTAACTAATCAAGCCTGATCAAGGTCATGGTGGTATTGAGCCGCCCATTAGGTGGTGAAGGTAACACGTGAAGAGCCAATAGCCTCAAGAACCCGTGGCCGACAAACAAGTGAGGAACAGGCCAGGAAAATGGCCGTGTAAACCACTATAGCTAAACTTAAGGGGACGTGGAAAAAATGTCCTCTTGTGACATCAAGGCAGAACAGCATGACGAGATAAAGAGAAGATCAGGTTTATTTTCTATTTATGTTTTTATGTCATTAAAATTTAAAGGCTTCCAAGTCGACTTCTCTTTCTCAATGATCGGTTACCTAATCAACCGAGGGTAAGCAAGATAGAGTGTGCGCACAAGCTAACTCAAAATGGCCCCCACTACCGGTCCACGGTGATGTTTTTGTCGCGTGAAGGCACCAGGACTTTGGTTACCCCCTCCTTGATGGGATGTTAGTTTGTCGTGACTTACCCCTCCCCCCTCCTACTTAGAATTTCGCAAGGTTTCCTAACAGGTTACACACCTGGCTTGAAAAGAGAAGACGAGAGGAAAACTGGGGCCAGTAATAGTGTTTCGTTTAATAAATAGGCGTTGCCTCGTGTTGACAGATTTATTCGATGACAAGAATCGTGATTGACATTAATTCAATAGATTGATTTAAAAGCGTTAGATTATTATATTTTAAGTCAGTTTTTCAGCAGGAAAATTAATGCAACCCGTAAAGTGAGACTGTTATAACGACCCGCCACAGAAGTAATTTTACATTGAAGTTTTTGAAAAAAGTAAAGACTTGATTTGCGTTTGAGTATTTCTTTTAGATCGAATAATTATTAAAGTATTATACATTAGGTCCCTTGGACTAATCAGTTCGAATTCGTTTGATGGTATCGTTAATGCACTCTCCGGGTCTTCTTTTGAGCTTTAGTTATAACAAATTTGATCGTTCGAAAAAAGAGAAAGAGAGAGAAAATAGATGGAACGGAGTCAAATTTTGGAGGAAAACTTTTTTCTCATTCCTTTCTTCGTCTTTTTATTATCCGGGAAGAAGGAGCCTATCAATAATAATAATTAATGGCTCCTTCCCGTAAGAAATCAATGTGCCAGCCTCGACGGTATTAATTTTTCTACACCTGGTTTGTTTGTTTGTCGTTGTCGAATTTGACGTGAAATTTCCCTCAAAATATAATGATAGCAATATACTTCATCTCAATCTATTAAGCTTTATTAAAACAAATAGTCTGCTAAGATTACATATTTTCATTTTCGCTTCTTACTATGTCAATTCGACCAAAAAAATTCACTAAGGCCGACGTAAAGCAGTCATGCAAATTACTACGTTTAACTTAAAGGAAATTATCGAAACTCTGATGCCTTACTTTTGCCAGCGTACACTTTTTTCAATCGCAAAACCATCTTTTAATTGAAAATAATTCGATTTATGAAAATTATTTTAATATCTTTTTGTTCGAACAATCGTGCATATCTTTAAAACAACGAAAAGAATCTTAATTATGGGAACGAGGAACCCTTTGAACTGTGCCTCGCTCCCAACATGAGGTTAAGGAGTCTGGGAGGCACGGGTTTCGAATCCCGTGGAAGCCTGGTGTTTAGTCAGACTTTATTTCTTTAATTTCTTTAATTGCAGTTTACCTGCAATGATCATTTCTTTGCATGCTGGAAAATATTCAAAAAAGAGAGAAAAAATTCAATATTTCAACCATTCTTGTGTTCAGTTTAGCTCATTACAAATGATACGCAGTTGTAGTTTGCCTTACTCAGTAATTGTGCTACACTAAGAATCTAAAATATGTACATGTCGATTATTTCTGAGGCTAAACTTGAAACACAATCAAAAAATCTTTTCGGGCTAAGAAGTGACCTGTAACCTTCGCTGGTCTCTAGTAATTTGTGCAGGTCGAGATGATCAGCAGTTGGCGCGAATCTCGGCTTGATTAAATAGATCAATTTCCATGTGTAAAAAGGTAATTGATAAAAAAATTAAGATTTCATCATTGTAAATACGCCCTGTGTCCTGGCGTAAGCCAAACGTACACTGGGATAATTGAGATTGCAACTGGAAACTTGAATTTGACGGTTAGACTTTTGCATCAAGGAATTAAGACATTCTTGATTTACTTTTCAGCAATTCTCTGACGAATTTTGACCCGGGCAACTTACCCACGAGACCCACGTGAAGTCGACAGGTGTTTACGCATTCTCTCAGTGTTTTCTAGACGTTACTTTACTGGTATTTACTGAACTGCATCAGTGCAATGCACGCTAGAACTTTCATTTTATGGCATCTGTTCATGTTCATCTTGAGCCTCAGCTTCAGTTATTGATGCTTCTTTTCCTTGGAATCTGAAATCAAAGGAACATTACAGTCATTGAACTAAACAACATTTTGAAATCAGCTGATGACGTAATCATGTTGGTGTGAAAGGATTTAATAGGTGTTGTTTTCGCATCTAAAAGAAAAGACGGATAAAGAACAGAGCAAATCAGATCACTTGCGGAAATTCATCTCCGGGAATGATTTTCATCACTCTTTAAAAGCGAAGTTTATCAACCTTTCATATCAGCTTATTACAGATAATTGTACGGTAATATGCATTCAGTAAAATTCTGTATAAAAATTGCTACTTACGATTCTTTAGAGATTTGTTCAAAATCTATCGTGACGTCATCACCAATGAGTACAAACGGAGCCCAGAACCGCGGGGCATAAAATTTTTCTGATTCTCGCAGACATTTCATCGCCCGGTTGAGTGACACACTGGCGCTGTTTCTCTTCTTCAGATTTTCGTAAAAGCTTTCCATAAACTTCATGGTGGCCTCGTCATCAATTGACCACAGTGCGACCAGAACAGAACGAGCACCAGCACCGAGGAAAGCCCGTGCAATACCGACCACACCTTCACTAGACACCTTGCCTTGGGCACTGTGACAACAACTCAACACAACAAGCTTTGCACGCAACTTTGCTGCTTGTACATCGGAAATTGTTAACCTGAAATCTTGTTCTTCTGGTCTTCTGTATTTTCGTTCTGGATTGGGAGCCAATGCAATTTCCCCAGTGTCGATTTTTCCGTGGGCAGCAATGTGCACCACAGCAACCGAACCGATTCTTTTCAACACCTCAGCCTTGGTTGCCTCTTTTCCAGTGAGTGGGTGGATATCAAGCATTTCTCCGATCATCTTTACTTCCTTTTCGGCGAAGGGTAAGGGTGAAAATTTGTTCTCTCCGAACAAGGTGGTAAACGCTTCTAGACATGGATTTCCAACGAGCAACGCTCCACTCTTTTGGTGATATTCTTCCGGAGAGGCGTTGATTAGTTTCATGCACATCAATGACGGTAGAAATCGTAACCTCATGGATTCACTGAGGTATTTTGATTCGGAATCCAAAAATGCAGCAAAAGGGGCGAGCCACAATGGACCATCAGGAACGATAACCAACTCGTCATCTTTGATGAAATTTGAAATAGGACTTACGATGCACTCATGAAAGAGACGCAGAGGATTCTCGTCAGACTGTGATGGGTTTCCTGTTTCCTCACCTCTTTCCTCGGCGGTTGGCAATTCTTGTTCGGTGCTGGTCTCATCTAATGTGCGGTTTTCACAGACTACCCGGAATCGTCCTCGTACTTCTTCATAAGCCTTCTTCCTTAAACTCTTCAAATAGTCGGTCGCATTTCCAAGGCGATATTTCACTTCTTTCTTTCTAAACTGTACATTCCTGTCTTTCCCGATTACCCACAGGTTAACTGCGTTTCCTTGTAGTGCAACAAAAAGCGTCGAACCAGAGATATCAGTGACCATTTCGGAGATCCCTGATTTAGCCGCCTCAACTGATCCAGAAACTGCCAGTTGGGAGCCATATCGTAGTTTGATGAGATCTAACAAGGCCTGTGCTCGTCCTTGGTCCGCAATACACAACGCCTCGTCGATTTTTGACAGCTTAAGCAAAGTTCTCCAGAGAGAATCATAACACCGATGATATGCATTATCAAAGGTTACTTTCAACTCATCTTTAGCTTGCAGAACTCTTAACTCATCGAAAAATTTAATACTGTGTTGATAATAATCAACCGCTTCGTGCAAGTCTCCAGAAAATTCCAAAATAGAACCCATGCCGTGCAATAAAATCGCTTCGTCTATTTCAACCACTGTTTCCTTGCTGAAGTTAAGAACTTTCTTGTGATACTCCTTGGCTCGTCCAAAGTCACCCTGGTTTAAATGAAGAACGATAAAACCCGCAAAGACCTCTGACTCGACGGAACGGTCTCTCAGTTCTTTGGCAATGGTAAGTGCTTTCTCAAGGTACTCTTTTGCCAACTCAAAATCAGCCCTTCGAGCATAAACCCTTCCTAAAAGGGAATAGGCGGAAGCCTCTTTTTTCCTATTCCCATTGCCTTTAGCGAGATCGATCATTTCCTGAAAACACTCTACAGCTCTAAAAACTTTCTTCAGTTTCAAGTAACTTAAACCAAGGGATTCTAAGGCTTGTAACCTATCTGTCGGATCTTGTGTAATACTTTCGGATAAATCGACAAACACCATGATTTGGTTGACATCACCGAACTTGTTATAAGCAAAGCCAAGCGTGTTGTAGGCACGTCCCTTGCCTGCCCTGTCTCCTAGTTCTTTAGCAATACTAAGATGTTGTTTGTGGTACTCTATGGCTTGATTAAAATCACCCAGCTTGTGATAAGCCATGCCAAGATTGTTGTAGGCACGTCCCTCGTCTGCCCTGTCTCCCAGTTCTTTAGCAATACTAAGATGTTGTTTGTGGTACTCTATGGCTTGATTGAAATCACCCAGCATGTGATACGCCGAGCCAAGATTGTCGTAGATACGTCCCTCGTCTGCATTGTCTCCCAGTTCTTTAGCAATGCTGAGATATTGTTTGAGGTACTCTATGGCTTGATTGAAATCACCCAGCTTGTGATAAGCCATGCCAAGATTTTTGTAGGCAATTACCTCGCCTGCCCTGTCTCCCAGTTCTTTAGCAATACTAAGATGTTGTTTGCCGTACTCTATGGCTTGATTAAAATCAACCAGCTTCTGATAAACAAGGCCAAGATTGTTGTAGGTAAGTCCCTCGTCTGCCCTGTCTCCCAGTTCTTTAGCAATACTAAGATGTTGTTTGTGGTACTCTATGGCTTGATTGAAATCACCCAGCTTGTGATAAGCCAAGCCAAGATTGTTGTAGGCACGTCCCTCGCCTGCCCTGTCTCCCAGTTCTTTAGCAATGCTGAGATATTGTTTGTGGTACTCTATGGCTTGATTAAAATCAACCAGCTTCTGACAAACAAGGCCAAGATTGTTGTAGGTAAGTCCCTCGTCTGCCCTGTCTCCCAGTTCTTTAGCAATACTAAGATGTTGTTTGTGGTACTCTATGGCTTGATTGAAATCACCCAACTCGTCATAAGCCGAGCCAAGATTGTTGTAGGCACGTCCCTCGTCTGCCCTGTCTCCCAGTTCTTTAGCAATGCTGAGATATTGTTTGTGGTACTCTATGGCTTGATTGAAATCACCCAGCTTGTGATAAGCCATGCCAAGATTGTTGTAGGCGCGTCTCTCGTCTGCCCTGTCTCCCAGTTCTTTAGCAATACTAAGATGTTGTTTGTGGTACTCTATGGCTTGATTGAAATCACCCAGCTTGTGATAAGCCCAGCCAAGATTGTTGTAGGCACGTCCCTCGTCTGCCCTGTCTCCCAGTTCTTTAGCAATGCTGAGATATCGTTTGTGGTACTCTCTGGCTTGATTGAAATCACCCAGCTTGTGATAAGCCATGCCAAGATTGTTGTAGGCGCGTCCCTCGTCTGCCCTGTCTCCCAGTTCTTTAGCAATACTAAAATGTTGTTTGTGGTACTCTATGGCTTGATTGAAATCACCCAGCTTGTGATAAGCCCAGCCAAGATTGTTGTAGGCACGTCCCTCGTCTGCCCTGTCTCCCAGTTCTTTAGCAATGCTGAGATATTGTTTGTGGTACTCTATGGCTTGATTGAAATCACCCAGCTTGTGATAAGCCATGCCAAGATTGTTGTAGGCGCATCCCTCGTCTGCCCTGTCTCCTAGTTCTTTAGCAATACTAAGATGTTGTTTGTGGTACTCTATGGCTTGATTGAAATCACCCAGCTTGTGATAAGCCACGCCAAGTTGGTTGTAGGTACGTCCCTCGTCTGCACTGTCTCCCAGTTCTTTAGCAATACTAAGATTTTGTTTGTAGTAATGTATGGCTTGATTGAAATCATGCAGCCGGTAATAAGCCCAGCCAAGATGGTAGCAGGCATGTCTCTCGTCTGCCCTGTCTACCAGTTCTTTAGCAATACTAAGATTTTGTTTGTAGTAATGTATGGCTTGATTGAAATCATGCAGCCGGTAATAAGCCCAGCCAAGATGGTAGCAGGCATGTCTCTCGTCTGCCCTGTCTACCAGTTCTTTAGCAATACTAAGATTTTGTTTGTAGTAATGTATGGCTTGATTGAAATCATGTAGCTGGTGATAAACCGAGCCAAGATCGTGGTAGGCACGTCCCTCGCCCGCTTTGTCTCCCAGTTCTTTAGCAATACTAAGATGTTGCCTGAGGTACTCTATGGCTTGATTGAAGTCACCCAGCTTATAAGTAGCGAAGCTAAGATTGTGGTAGGCACTTTCCTCGCCTGCCCTGTCTCCCAGTTCCTTAGCAATACTAAGATGTTGTTTGTGGTACTCTATGGCTTCGTTGAAATCACCCAGTTTGCAATATGCCGTGCCAAGATTGTTGTAGGCCATTCCCTCGCCTACCCTGTCTCCCAGTTCTTTGGCATTGAGGACGTCTTGCTTTATTATCTCAATTACTGTCTTCATCTAAGGTTTGAAAAAATGTAAAGGCAACTGCATAAAAATTGCGTAATTATTTTAGTTTTAATGTTTGTTTGTCAAATTAAAAAATGAAAGTTGCAACTGTACCTTGGTTTACCAAAGGCCAAAGGCTTTTTCAGTGGAAAAAAGTATGTTTTCTTAAGATGCAGTCTCTTTACAGCCAGGGAAAATCGAGTTCTATCAGCCGTTTCCGAAATCATATTTTAGTCCAAAACTCCAAAGTACCTTGGTTTTTTAAAAAATCGGAAAAAAAAATTCGAGGCTAATTGCTTGTTCCTAATTTTCAACGCCCATTTTTGTGGTCTCGATAATAAAAAATTGAACAAAATGCCTGTTGTTTACTTCATAGTTTACTATGTGAAAGGTTTGCGATTTCCATGTTTAGATACACTATTCAATGACGCTGTCGGAGAGCCCCATATTCTTGGATCGTCAACTACAACGTATGTTATAAGAATGATATAATTTTTCTTGACACCTATTTCAGCGTTAGCTCCGGTCCATATAAGGCTTTTAACGGCACGCTAAGGTAACAATATACTCTGAATGACCATCATTCGTTGTCAACATTGTAATTCACTTAGTTCAAGGGTGAAGAAGCACAAATATTAAGCAAAAATCCTCTAAAGAACGTGTTTATCGATTATGTTGTTTTAATAACACATCAAACCGAATTTTCAACTGTTGTGTTCTTGTGAAATCTTTATTTATCTCGAAATGTGGCCGGTTTTACTGGTACAGTATCGATAAAAATTCTAGTTGTAAAGGTAAAAGTCGACTGAAAGAACTTTACAACTTCTCAAGGTGTTTTCGGTCTCTCTCAAGGTGTTTTCGGTTGAAATTGTAGGAAAACTTCCGAAAAGTCACGGAGAGATCCAGAATAACAGTCGCCATCCAACAATAGTGAATAGTTTTTCAAATTATCGTGTGTCATTTCAGAGGATGCTAGAATTTTTATGATTTCTAATGAGAACTGAGATGAAGAAGGCAAAGCCATTTACTAGACCATACACTTACATTGCCAGATTCGGCACATTCCGAGAATGATCTGTCTCTCAGTCGCAGCAGGGTATTGTTTCTTTCAATCTACATACAGTTAAGATGCAAATAATACCGACAGATGAGACTGTTACTTTGGGACTGCATTTATATAGATCCGCAATTTCTTAATTACAGCAGGAATACTATTGGTCAAGGAATTTGGCTCTGTGCCTGTGGCTTTTAACATTCAGTTTCTAAATTTATTGTTTTGGTATGTGATCGATGAAAACAAAAAAAAAAGAAAATTGAAGCTCATTCCGCTATATTGGAGAGCGTTTTTCATTTGGACACTCTGAAAAAGCAAGATGGTTTCAAAATTCCGAATAGCTTATTTTTGGTGTGCGTGCCGTAAGTCTTCATACTAAATATTTCAACTATGGCTCTTGGCATACTAAGAGAGACCACGCTCTTTCTTTAGATCTGACAAAAGGATACGGCTAATCCTTCAACACACCATCTGTACGCTTCTTCAGGCTTATTCAGCTCAAGACAGGCACTTGCTCCTATTCAAAATAACACATAGAATTCTGTTAGACCGAATTCATACGGAAAAGTTTTCTCTAATACAGTTTTTCTTCGCTCAGATGAAAAAAAAATTTTAGATTTTTTTTCCTTGTGCACTTTTGAAACAAGACATCTTTTGGAGGAAAACTTATGAAATTATGAAAAGAACTGTGCTACATGTGGAAATATCAAAATAAATATCCCGATGATTCTTAAAATTGTCCGTAAGAGATAGAAAATTTCCTCGTGCACTTTACTTCGAAAGATGAGTATCAGCAGCTTTTAATTTACATTTTCAGGTCAATTTCTCGTTCTGAAATGGAAAATTGAAGCCAAAAAGAAAAAATATGTGGGAGTAACAGCGCCTCATTCTATTTACACCAGTCATGTGATGTCCAACTAATCAAAGCACCGTATGGCGTGGGGTAGTTTTTTACTTTTCCAAAAGAAAAAAAAAAAAAATTACCTCTGACAATTGCCTTTAGATATGTTGGTTGTAGTTGATGGGCGGTTGTTGCATCTCTCAGTGAATCCTGGTAATTGCCTTTTAAAGAGAAACGTTTAATTTTATTGGCAAACCGTAGTTACCAAAACGAAACGTAAAGAAAGAAACAAGGGCGTAGCTCGTTAATCGTGTTACATGGCTGACTCTCTGAGTTACAGAAAAGACCCGAATACAGTTAAATTCTAAAATGTATGGGTCAACTGAGTACTACTTTATAAAATAAAAAATATAATATAGTATTTCGGAATGCGGAACTGACACTTTCCTTGCAGGTCAATATACAAACAGGTAGCTATACTTTTCTAGAAATTTGTTTCCAAAAATCAAATGATCAGCTTTCCCGAGTGTAAATTATATTGCTTTGAGTATTATGAAGTCGATTTGAGTATCTGAGGTCAGCGGTGGAAAATTAAGAAACAGTAGAGATGTTAGGCCCAGAAATGATTATAGGTGTCGGTGATGGAAAAAACAAAGGAAATTGGCTGAAGTTCCGTGGACATCTTCTAGACACAGACGTGTGTTCATGAACTACCTCAAGGATTCTGTGAGGCCGACTGCCAAGTGAAAAAACAAAAAGAATGTTGAAATACGTGGGCTAAATTCTCACCTAATTTGAAATGTACTGTCGCCCTGTCGTTGTACAGTTTGGCCTTCAATTCTTTGTTTCCGCATTTCACTTTAATTCCTTCCGTGTAAAAGTAAATGGCGTTTAAAAAATCTTCTTTTATGTAAACGTCGTTACCTTCATTCTTGTAAACTTCAACTATTGCTGAAACGAAAGAATTTAAGGAAAATTCATTAAACTGAAAATTGTTATCGATCGCGATCAAGGTATTAAAAAAATAATGTAAAAAAGAGTATAAAATAATTTGATCTCAACAATTTATCAAGCTTTCCTCCATGAAGTGGAAGCTCTTCCTATCAAAACCTTGTAAAATGACAAATCTCGTCCCTTGAGAATTTTTTTCATTACGATGTGCCATCACACAAATAAATGTTACCCGAAAGAACTTCAAAAAGAAAGACAAAATTGATAAAGAAAAGAAATCAAGCAGAGTGTTGGTAGTTTGAAAGACAGGAAACATGATTACGAAGCCTCCTTTTGAAGAGAAAGCCGCTCTAAGCTCACCTGTCAAAGTGTCTTCATCAAAATCAAGAGTTACTTCTTTTTCTTCTTCTTCATCTTCTCCAGAAGGTGGTGTGACGTCACTTGGGGCTTTGCTTGGACCTTCCGCCATGAATACTTGGAGTTTACATCTCAGCAAACTACAGCTCCTTCTCAGTTCCTGTATGTAGTACCTGTGTGTGGTACCTGACCAATGAATACAATAATTTATTAGTAACCTAAGTGAGGCGGTGCTATCTTTTTAGCACTCGATGGTTATTATGGGCAGCCTGAACTCTCTCCATTTTTCATATAATATATATATGTGTTGTGATAGGGGAAATAAACAGAGAGATTATACTTTCATCCCTACAAGCCTGTTTCGTGATTGCTCACTCATAAGCAATCACGATACAGGCTTGTAGGGATGAAAGTATAGTCTCTCTGTTTTTTTCCCCTATCGCAACATATATCGCGCTCTACTTCTACGTATCGAGCACTGTAAACGGAAAAATCAATACTCAGACTTCTTATGTATGTATTTATTGTATCATGTAAATTAATGTAGGATACGAATAAATGAAGTTGTTGTTGTCGTTGTTGTAATAGAGTCTCGGTATTTTAGTTACCAGCGTTACGCGAGCGTGACCGAGGGTCATGCTATTACGGGACAGAGTTATTGTACTGTAAGCGTAAAAACCCTCTTTTAATCGACAGAGTTTTTTAAAAGAAACTATGTTGCACGAGGCTGAGGAGTTAGCGGAGCCAACCCGCGCTCATCTGTAGAATAAAGCCATTGAAATCCAGTCGAATCTGTGTACCGTGGTTTCCTTGAAGACCACTGCTACATGTACAACAATGATGTGCACAACAACGGTCAAATCACGGGAAAATCTGAATTTACCTTTTGGTCCTAAAATTGTTTTTTTCTTTACAGGAAAAAAAGTCGGTTTGCGCTTCTGACCACTGGATGACACGTTCGTGTAGAGAGGGACACCACAAAAAGTCCGCATGAAACTTTATAACGATCTATTTTGTGAATATTTTATTCTCAAAAAAAATCTTTCTAATCGAAAATATATCGAGCTTGTCTCTTTCATAGTCTTTGATTGCTTGTCATCTGATTCTGAGAAACGAAATGTTCCCTTTTTAGATGTAACGTTAGTTGAAAACAGCACCCGCCTTCAAACTTGATACTCGAATGATAATTATTAAAACTAATATTTGCTATCATTGTAAAACTGCTTATGAGACTTAAAAAATATCAAGCTTCGACTGGGCTTGAATACGTGTCCGTTAGATACTGATTAGGATAGGTGCTATTTCCAAGCTACATTCTGTACAGGTTTTCCATCAACAACAGCTATCGAAATGTCGATGAGTGTGGTGCAATATATTATCAGTACTTACTTTCAGAAGACACTTGTTTGACAAAGATGATGCCTTCAAGTTATTAAGTTCTGCGATAGAATAACCCGAAAACAGAAAAATTCGAAAACAAAAATATTTAGTGTGGGAACGATCATATCTTCGTAATGTTGTCATGTTGCTCAAAACGAAGCCAACAGCGATTTCATTTACACATTATATTATTTGGAAAAATAATTATTTCGTCAAAAACTGTTTTAACATAGCTAGTAAATTTGTCTAATCAAATTAAATTGGGCGAGCGTGCTTCATATTCCTATTATGCACGCTCATGACGTCAGCAAACAAATCCCTCAAGAAAAAAATTTTCCTTCGGGTTGAAAATGTTGTAAAACAATTGGTTCATACGTCAGCTGTGCGTTCATCGGGATATGAAGCACGCGGGAAGTTTGGAGAGCACTCAAGAAGCTAGAGTTGCTCGAGGCTACGCCTCGAGAAACTCTTACGCATCTTTCGTGCTCTCCAAACTTCCCGCTTGCTTCATATCTCGATGAACGCACAGCTGACGTATGAACCAATTGTTAATCAAAAACGAGGAAACATTTCAAAAGACCTTGTCAGCTAACCTTAAGCCAAAAAAGGCAAACCCCAAAGTCAAGTCAAGTCGCTGTATGTATACCAAGTTTGTTTGCAAATAATTGTAATGAGGCAAAAAATTTATTTGAGTATCAGAGGTGTTATTTGAAGATCTTGACGGGAGACAAGTTTCATTTTCCAACGCAATTTTCTCCTTTGGTTGAGTCGAAAATGAAAACTAACGTCAGGATGTTAGAACAACTATGTATTTTTATCAACCATCATCTCATATTTTTTCGAAATGTTTTTTAAACCTCTTTTGTTTACGATCAGTAGGAAGGATTTATCAGATATTGTCTCTTAGGAGAAGTTTGTCGAAATCTATAGTTTCATGAAAATCTGCGCCAGTGATAAACACGACAAGTGTATTTATTAACATTTCAAGGCGCTATTTTTGCACGCGGACATAGTTTCGTACCTCTAAACCCTAAAATCTCATCGTTAGTATGAATGAAAGTGTATCAAAACAGTTAAGAGAACTTACATGATGATCAGTCAGGACGTGAGAGTTTCATTTCTGTTTCTGATTCTGAATGTTTTCTTTATGTGTTTTTAACTTCTTTTCTTCACGGAGCTCTGTTGTTATTGTTTGTATCTAAGGAAGACAGAACAACCGAGAACTGAAACGTTCTTCCGAAACCGAAGTGTAATGTTTTCCTTTTTTCAGTGCATCTTTTCGTGACCGTTTCTCACCATAATAACGGGATTTGGCGTATGACAGTAGAGTCTTAACCCTTTCACTCCCAAGATCTTATGAGTAATTCTCCTTACTATCTGCCACATAATGCTCATGGTAAAAAAATATTATTTGCCATTAAAAAAAGGGGAAAAATGTCACCACTTAATGTGGTTGTGTTTATAATCGCACAAACAAAGTCACGATTTTTTTTCCAAAATTTTGTTGCAAAGATATCAAATGAATCCACTAGCTCGCCTGATTATTCAGATGCAATTTGGGGTCTAAAAAACTCCCTTCCGATCACTGCTCTTTGCAGGTGCAATCAAGTTCGTCTATTTATAAAGATTCAAGAGGTTTGGGGGAGAGACACAACATTCAACTAGGGTATATGAGGGGAAACAGTAGGTACGGGTACACTTTGTGGAAATAACGCAACGCTATTATGTAATAGTGTAGTTTGATCGTCCGGGTGAGTGTAGTCCTGAGAAGGACTGTTGTCGGTAATGGTGACTGACGTTTCGACAACCTGAGCGGAAGTCAACACCAGAGTCAAGTGCACTTGAAGCTGAAGTCATCAACCTTTCACTTGACTCTGATGATGACTTGACTCTGATGATGACTTCCGCTCAGGTTGTCGAAACGTCAGTCACCACTACCGATAACAGTCCTTCTCAGGGCTACACTCACCCGGACGATCAAACTACACTATAACATGTTACCCCCGGGTTCAAACCATTTACTGTACAACACTATTACTCCGTTAAAACGGAAGTTTGATCATGGCGCGCTCGGCGGAGGTGTGGAACAGCTTTCTTTGCAGTTCTTTTCAATTTAGAGTAGTGTGTTGTTCCATTAAGTTATTTAGTCTAAATCTTTTTGCATTTTAGTCTCGAGGGATGAGTTTCCAAGAGCTGAGCTCAAAGTAAGTTCAAAACAAAATCTTTCTAGTCGAAAATATATCGAGCTTGTTTCCTTCATAGCTTTTGTTTGGGTTTGTCACGGAACACGCGTCTTTTTAGTTGCGTGACGAGCTTAATCATAGCTGTGACGGAGACATGTAACAAACCACGTGCTATCCGAGTTTTTACTAAAGTGATTGATCCACTGACTCAGATTCGTCTTGTTCGGTAATTAACCGCTAGTTCGCCGAGTTATGAGGTCTTATTTCTAATTAATTTATAGTTTACTGATTCAACAGCGCTTTACGAAATATAGAAATATCCGATAGTCTGTCGCAGGTAAGTTAAAAGCCACAAGCACACAATGATTTTTATAAGTGAAAGGCTTCCTTGGCGCCCATATTCCCAATCTTTTTTGTATTAGTTTTAAATGATAATATAGGCGTATTATCGCCTCGTCATCGTCTTTGAAAGCTTCAGTTACGATCTCTTTACACACCAGATTCAACAATTACTTATATTTTTGCTTCTCGCCGACACAGCATCCGTTGCTTTTTCCAAATTTTTGCTATGTCAGTCTCAGTACAAAACACTCAATTTGAATGACAAAGATATTTGAAATTTCTAGTTTGTGATTTGACGACAAATAAACGCACTCTGTAAGCGTAAAATTAACTTCAAATTCTCAACGCCTCGTGTGGTATTTGAATGTTTCACTTATTCTACATCTGTCATCCACTATGCATTGATTCCTTTATTTATTTTTTTTTACCAAGCACTCACATCAGTGTTTAACCATGTAGGAAATAGTCAGAGAATGAGTGAGTGAACTTTCATGATTGACAAGGGTACGACAATGATTCAATTTAAGTCTTCTTTATTCTAGAAAACGTGTTTTTGGAAAAAAATTGAAAAATTTTCCTTGGACACCTTCTACAAATTTGTACATCCTGCCGCAAAAGTTCTTACGATGATCAATCTGTCAGCTGTGATATAAGCAAGGTAAAAAAGTTTTTAAACTAAGTGTGTAACGATATTAAAGATTTTAGTACAAAATGTCATCTGATTCTGAGAAACGAAATGTTCCCTTTTTAGATGTAACGTTAGTTGAAAACAGCATTCGCCTTCAAACTTGATACTCGAATGATAATCATTAAAACTAATATTTGCTATTATTGTAGAACTGCTTATAAGACTTGGAAAATTTAAAGCTTCGACTGGGCTTGAACACGTGTCTGTTAGATACTGATTACGTTAGGTGCTATTTCCAAGCTAGTTTCTGTACAGGTTTTCCATCAACAACAGCTATTGAAATGTCGATGAGTGTGGTGCAATTTATTATCAGTAATTACTATCGGACACTTGTTTGACAAAGATGATGCCTTCAAGTTATTAAGTTCTGCGATAGAATAACCTGAAAACAGAAAAATTCAAAAACAAGAAATCTTTAGTATGGGAACGGTCATATCTTCGTAATGTTGTCATGTTGCTCAAAAAAAAGCCAACAGCGATTTCATTTACACATTAAATTATTTGGAAAAAGAATTATTT